ACCACGCCGGACTGGTAGGGCATGATCATAGGTGTGACGTACGTAAATGGCGACAGGGACCTACGAACAGACGGCCTTCCCGAGTACTCCACTGCTATCGCCAACATAGGCACAAGAAATCTCCCTGGGTCAGATTACGAAGCCATCTGACGGGCTGTGATATAAAATAGTATCTATCTTCCTCTCTACAGAATAACACAAGTATGAAAGAAAAAAATAACTTGAAAAGTTCTAGTGGCCAATAGAACTTTTCAACTTATTTATAAATTTTTTATCCCAATACGAGAAAAAAAAAGAAACAACATACCCTATTTAAGATTGAAATATATATATGTATTGTTGATACAATAGATCGATTGAATTGAATGATTTTATACAAGAAAATCATTCCTTATATAGGATATTTGAAAAACATGAACTATCATTCAATGATAATGATTAATAGATAATCATCGACGATCAATTTATCGTCAGTCGACGATGAATATGTACTTATTCTATTTACATTACATTCACAGCCGTACCTCAGTGACTAAAAAGAAAAAAAAGAAAACAAAAACAATTCATTTCAATTAGAGATGGGCCGTCAGACGTAATAAGCGTTATGATATATAACGAAAATGAGAACAATACGAAAGAAACGATTATAGCATAGCACACTATATTTTATTCGGAGTTTGCTACCTAACATAAAACTAGATTAATCAATGATTTTCTATTCTTGGAATAATATTTTTCTCATATTGTACCTCTTAATAATAAAGAATACAAAGGTTTCTTCTATAGTTTAGTTGTATTTTTGTTAAGACTTCGGTAAAGTGCTTAAGAAGTAATACATTTTCAACAGTTTTTTTGCGTGGAGCCAAACTCATCGATAGGTACTATCATGCAGAACTAACGGGATCATAATTACATAGTCGAGGTATTACAACCAGCTATTTTTCAAAGTGTTCATATTCCTGACTTTGTTTTTTCCTCTTAAAAAAGATTACATTCGAACTGAACGATTCTTTATGTTAGAGATCCATGTCTTCAGGTAAAGTGTGGAATCCAATCATTTACTCTGTGCCAGTAAAAAGTAATTCTTAAAAACTTTAATCTTAACTTTGTAGACGACTTTCAAATTAAATATTTCGTGTTACTATGAAATAATATAACTTAATAGGAAATTACTAAGCATCATGAAATATATTTGTCATAATTTAAAAAATATTTGACAACAAAAATTTGAAGATACTCTTCTTCATAGTGTCAAAAGTTTCATGTAAATTCTGAAATTTTTGTTCAATTTCTTTTTTGACGTATCAATTGAGCTATTGAGCGACGAAAAAGGAAATTCTTAATTTCTTACGTTAAAAGTGATTATTACGTTATTTCCGCGTTAGACGTTATAAATTCACACTTCACTTATAGTCGTTTACTTTAAGAAATTATAACGTAATATTACGTTATAACGTCTTACGCGAAGGAAGAGTAAAATAGTTCACGTCAGAGCGAAACGACATATATATCAATTTACGTATAGTCGCGAGAACAGAAAACAGTCAACGTCATAACGTCATGCTTTTCTTTTCTTCCTTTCTTTCGTTCGCTTTAAACATATATGTCATTTACGATAGACGAAGATGTTACGGCCCAGCACTAATTTCAATGGTTATTGTTTGAATTTCCATGTAGGAAATTTCATTCTTTACTTTGACATCATTTTCATTGTATAATGATGATTATTTTCGAAAACTAAGATTTCTTCATTACTTTCATTAGTTTTGTACGATTTGAATCCTTTTTATAGAATTCAAAATCTTTCTTTTTGTATCCTTCTCATCATGTTATTTTCATGAATGACTTTCAAACAACATTAAAGAATACGTATGGTTTATTCATCACAAATGACATTGTTTTTGTCATTTTATAAGTCACACCCTTAAGATCAACAATTATGTGAACACGTTCCACCATCCCAAAGAGTTAGTTTAATGTGTAAACAACAATCTAGATATTGTGTATATCTGATGTTAAATCGCGTTACAGGACATGTACATGTTTGAGTTTTTGATGATGCTCTACATTAATTAATTACTAACCGAGCTTTATTGTAAAATATTTTCGAATATATATTTGTTTTCATACATCAATTCTTTTCGAAAATATCACTTGATTGATAATAACAGTCTTTATGATAAAGATATTGATGTTGAATTGATAGTTATTATTTGTCATGATTTATCAGGTATAGATGATAGTTCCAAAGAAATAGATTACTGTTTTCATAATGGTTATTCTAATTTTAAGGACTGATATTCAGCGTTTTTAGAACATATTTATTTTAAATAAGAATCTTCAACTCATATTAATAAATTGTTGATGTTGTACTATCATCACTTGATGATGAGTCATATTTAGGGATCTTTTTCAATGGGTCAACGATAAAAGTTTTGCTCGGAAATAATTCGAAACGGTTTCTGTATCAATTTTTGATGAAATGGTAAATTAACCATCAAAGAATAAATATTCTTTTTGGTTCTTACTCACATTGATATATCATTATTGTAAATTTAGCTTATCTAGTTTTGTCTCTATATATTTATTACACATTGTAATATAACTATATATCTCTTAGATTCTGCTCAGAGATTTTCGTAGGATATTGGAGATAGTTTTTCAATGTGATTAATATCGTATATCCATGTTTCGTGCACACAAATTATATTTTGTCTTGGTGTCTGACAAAGATGTTATAGTAGCTGTTGTCATAGATCGTGGTATTTGTCTTTCTTGTTATCATTCGTATTTCTAGATCTACTACTAGCACCGACTTCATAAAAAGAATTGTTTACATTATTCTATCAAGAACTCTTGTAATGCGAAAAGAAGAAACTATGCTTATAACTTGTTTTCTATTCTTGACGAAACTACTCATTAAAACTGAGTATTGTAGCTGAAAATTCACGAGAAGCTATTTACTTGTTAACAAAAAACAAAAACATCCAGAAAACACAATAAAGAACATGTACACATTATTTGAATATTAAAATTTTCTTTATGAAATAAATACTTGTAAAATTTGTCTTTATGATGAAAAGATACAGTAAAACACACTCTACAATATGATTTTTTATTCACTTCACTATTTAATGTAGTGAGAATTGAAATAAGAATGTAACGTAACTCGTTCGTAAAGTCTCAGAGAACAAATTCTTTGTGTAAAATTGAAGATATATCTTGTTCAGATTCTTTTTTTGAATTACAAATAAATAAACTATCTTATAAGATTTTCAAGCAAGGTCGAACTTAGTTATGGTAACTTCTTCACTTTCATTAAAAACCACATTTTTTCTTTATTGTTAGAAAGTTTTACTTCAACAAATTCTTTTAAACTTTCAGTAAAAAAGATAAAACATTCAATGAAACAAAAATAAATCAAAGTATTTATAAAAATCTTCTTTTCAATTCACATAGACAACATGACAGAACAATGAAAAAGAAAAGAAATTACAGAAACTAATAAGACACTACTGTCAACTATACTTTCTTAAAGATGATTGAAACTTTCATTTATTTTGTATTATGATATGACCATTGCTTATACAATTGTGATTTCTATGATTATATAATGATCTGAGTCTTTTTGAATTTATGATATTTATTTTCCACATAGTTATTTCTCAACAGGTAGTTTGTAGAAAATTTTGATCAACTGACAAATAAATATATTGGAATTAGATTCAAATAGCATCCTCACATTTCAAGATTCGGGTATTTTTGTTATTTTAAAGAGATACATATATATTAACAGTTATTTGAATGTTAAGTTAATAGAGAAGCACAGTTATCAAGTCGAATTACCAAATCAGTTTTAGATCTTATTTTTCGCGAAATTATTTATGAATGATATCAATTTATTATTTAAATTTTAAGTTGAAAAAAAAATAAAAAAGAACATGATTTTATTTGATTATTATTGTTTATGACCACAAGCCAGAAAATTTGTTTGATTATAATAAAAGTCGATTGTTTTATCAGCACATGCTCCTCCAGTTGGACCAACATGTGGACAATGTATAGATGGTAATAAAGGTACAAAATATGTATGAATAAAACGGCAAATAACATTTCCTTGATCTCCTCTTGCTACTCTTCAACTAAATCAGCTGTTTTTTTTTCTTAGGATAGACCACAGATTGAAGTTCTTATTCATGTTCAAACAATCCATCCATACATATTAAATTAGCAAACTGTTCTTTTTTTCTTATATTTATTTGTTAATAAATGTCAAATATAAAATAATCAAAAACATAAAGAAAAAGTCAATATTCTTCAATTTTTTGTCGATCTTTTTCAATTTGTAAAACTTTTTATTGGGTTGATGCAAAATTAACGACCGTTTTCATTAATTCTAAATTTATTCAACAATACAACACCAAAGTACACTCAAAACATGTTTAAATGATCATTCTGGAGCATAATCGCCATTTACTTCAATAACTGCTTCCCATTTGCTTGGCAAACGATCGATTTCACGTGCAAAAAAGTGACGATCCTTGGATGCAATCCACGCTTTGACGTCAGCGACAAGATCGTCAAAATCATCGTAGACTTTGCCCGTCTGCCGATTTTTGAGCGGACGATTGACGTGATAGTCTGTAGGAGCTTCAGTGGGAGAATATGGTGGGTGCTCAAGCAGTTCCCATCCTTTGTCGCTGACGTCAAAGCGTGGATTGTATCCAAGGATCGTCACTTTTCTGCACGTGGAATCGATCGTTTGCCAAGCAAATGGGAAGCAGTTATTGAAGTAGATGGCGACTATGCTCTAGAATGATCATTTAAACATGTTTTGAGTGTACTTTGGTATTGTATTGTTGAATAAATTTAGAATCAATGAAAACGGTCGTTAATTTTGCATCAACACAATATTAAACAATTTGAATTTGAATCATCGGAAAATGTTCGTTTAATAGAATTATTTGTTAATTGACCAAAAAAGAGATTTTTTTCATTTCTGTTAATAAGAATATTATCTTGATTCTCATTTGAATTATTTATTTTTGATATTGTTGCAATAGTTGTTAAAAATTTACCATCTTCAGTTCAAGTTCGAGTCGTTCGAACTGTATCATTTGCACCTAGAATTTATTTATTTAAAAAAAAAAGAAAAAAATTTCAATACGATTCATATGATTTCAATTCCATTAGATTTAATAAATTTTATAAATAATATTATTATTTTATTAATTTATTTAATATGTTAATTAATTGTTTATTTGAATACGTCAACTAACAACTATTTTACTAAATATTTATTTATTTCATATATTTACATAATATGAGAGAAAAAAAATGTTTGAATAAATAAATAAATTTTATTATTCAATTAAGTTAAATAAAATTGATCGAAATATAAAAATAGTTCTTATGTATTTATTTAATTGTAGACAAATATTCTTATTTGTTTTATATTATATAAAAGAGAAGAATCTAATAAATAAATTCTATTTCAATTAATTCAACTAAGATTTTACTTATTTGACTAGAATTTTTTAATGAAAATTTTTCAAATCTAATCAAATATTTAATTCCAACGTAGATTTTATTAAAAA